CGATTATGACAATCAACCATATTGGTGGAAGTACCTCAAGTCATTTTATTTCTAGTATGACACTCAAAAATATTGGTGGAAGTACCTGAAGTCATTCTAGGATGACACTCAACCATATTAGTGAAAGTACCTGAAGCCATTCTAGTATGACAATCAACTATATTGATGGATGTACCCCAAGTCATTCTAGTATGACACTCAACCATATTGGTGGATGTACCTCAAGTCATTCTAGTATGACACTCAACCATATTAGTGAAAGTACCTGAAGTTATTCTAGTATGACAATCAACTATATTGATGGATGTACCTCAAGTCATTCTAGTGTGACACTCAACCATATTAGTGGATGTACCTCAAGTCATTCTAGTATGACACTCAACCATATTGTTGGATGTACCTGAAGTCATTCTAGTATGACACTCAACCATATTAGTGAAAGTACCTGAAGTCATTCTAGTATAACAATCAACTATATTGATGGATGTACCTCAAGTCAGTTCTAGTATGACACTCAACCATATTGGTGGAAGTACCTCAAGTCATTCTATTTCTAGTATGACAATCAACCATATTGGTGGAAGTACCTCAAGTCATTCTAGTATGACACTCAACCATATTAGTGGATGTACCTCAAGTCATTCTAGTGTGACACTCAACCATATTGGTGGAAGTACCCCAAGTCATTCGAGTATGACACTCAACCATATTGGTGGAAGTACCTCAAGTCATTCTAGTATGACACTCAACCATATTGGTGGAAGTACCTCAAGTCATTCTAGTATGACACTCAACCATATTGGTGGATGTACCTCAAGTCATTCAAGTATGACACTCAACCATATTGGTGGAAGTACCTCAAGTCATTCTAGTATGACACTCAACCATATTGGTGGAAGTACCTCAAGTCATTCTAGTATGACACTCAACCATATTAGTGGATGTACCTCAAGTCATTCTAGTATGACACTCAACCATATTGGTGGATGTACCTCAAGTCATTCGAGTATGACAATCAACCATATTGGTGGAAGTACCTCAAATCATTCTATTTCTAGTATGACAATCAACCATTTTGGTAGAAGTACCTCAAGTCATTCTAGTATGACACTCAGCCATATTGGTGGAAGTACCTCAAGTCATTCTAGTATGACACTCAACCATATTAGTGGATGTACATGTACCTCAAGTCATTCTATTATGACACTCAACCATATTGGTGGATGTACCTCAAGTCATTCGAGTATGACAATCAACCATATTGGTGGATGTA